GGTGCTGAGAGGGGGCGCGCGGGGGGGTGGGTGTGTGGGGGTAAGAGACCATGGGAGGGGGACCAGGCGGAAGTGAGTGAAGGTCCTGGGCTTTTCACATGGAAGATTGTCAGAAATGTAAATGGTAGGCTCTTCCTCAGGCCCACCGAAGAGGGCTCTCTAGGGGTGGAGGCGCTATGGGATGTTTGGATGTTTGAGAAGCTCTGACTTCGGTTATAACTGAAAGCACGCAGAGTGCTGAGCCAAGGAGTTTAAGTCCTGCTGGGTGGAGCTAAGGAGCTGCAGGTGCTTAAGTGGGAAGGAAACCCAGTCCTGGGTGTGTTCAGGAAGAGTAATGTTATATACAGTGGGGAGGAGGAACCACAGGTGGAGAGACCAGTTGAGCAGGATGTGGAGCCCTGCCCTGGAATCAGATCTGGGTCCCAGGGGCCAGTGACCGCCTTCCCCCCAACAACACTCTGTTCTCCTGCTGGGAAGAGGGAGGATAGATTCCTTTGCTAGGGCTGCTATTACAAAGTGCCACAGACTGCCAGCCTTAACTAACAGCAATCTATTTTGTCACTGTTCTGGAGGCTGGAAATTCAAGATCCAAGTGTTGGTGGGTTGGTTTCTCCTGTGGCCTCTGTCCTGGGTTTGCAGATGGTCACCTTATTGTCCTTATATGGTTGTCTCTAGCCTGTTTTAAGTTCTAAGCATCTTTTTTTTTCTTTTTTTTTTTTAATGTAAGGACAGCCATCATATTGGAGTAGGGTCCATCCACTTGATCTTATTTCTAATCTTAATTATTTCTTCAAGTTGCTTTTCATGTACTTTTCACACGACAAGCTCGATTCTTGGGCTAGGGATGGAACTGTGGAAGAGAACATGTTTAGCATGCACAAGGCCCCCAGTTCTCATCTAGGTGTGACTGCGGATGACCTTGAACTTTCCAATTCTCTTGCCTCCACTTCCTGAGTGTTGGGATTACAGGCGTGCACCACCACACCTGGTTTATGTGGTGGTAAGGATCAAACCCCAGGGCTTCATGCAGGGCTTCAGCCTACTGAGCCGAATCTCCAGCCCCCAAGTTATAGTCTTTACTTGGATTTTGGTTCAAGCAAAACACAAGATATGCACAAGCAATCAAGAGAACATGAGCATCGGTTATTTGATGAATTTATGGACTGCTAAAATGTTTTATAATGTCCTAAGAGTATATGGTGGTCACCTTTATTTTTTAAAATTTTCTTATCTTTTAAAAATATATATTGAAATATTTACAGATAAAATTTGACATGCTTCAAAATAATCCCTGTGTAGAGGAAGTGGCTGGGGGAGAGTGAGTTTGAAATGGGACTGGCTGTGTGCTGAGGGAAGGTAAATGGAAACCACATAAGCAAAGGTCCCCAGTGCTAGGACAAGGGCCACACAGAGGTTCAGGGTTCTGGGAGATTGTGTGCCTGCTCCCTGTCCTTCCAGAATCAGAAAGGTAGTCACAGAGGAGGAGGGAGGAAGAATTATTATGTGTCAGTTACTTTTCTGTTGCTGTGTTAAAATACTGTGATCAATGGGGGCTGGAGAGATGGCTCAGTGGTTAAGAGCATCCACATAGCTGCTCACAACTATCCCCAACTCCAGTTCCCCCCAAAATTCGATGCCCTCTCTGGCCTCTACCGCCACAGGCGTTGCATGCAGGCAATACACTCATACACATAAAAGAAAAATAGTACATAAATTATTTAAAAATTCCATGACCAAAAGCAATTTATGGAAAAGTTTATTTTGGCTTATGGTTCCAGAGGGGGAGTCCATAGTTGTGGGGGAGGCATGACAGCAAGCTATAAACACTCAACATTCACCCCCCTCCAACCCCATGACATACTTCCTCCAGCAAGGCTACACCTCCTAAAGGTTCCATGATCTCCCCAAACATCACCACCACCTGGGGACCTAGTATTCAAATACTTGAGCCCATAGGGGACATTTCTCATTCAAACCACCGCAAGTACTCAGACTGAAAAAGTTTTCAACTCCCTTGAATTCCAAGATTTTGCAGAGCAGAGGAGCAAAGTTTGCTCTTGAGCCATGCATCCCCCACGCTGTGAACAGATGAAACTGGAGTGTGCCTCCCAAGGACCTCAGGGTGTCCCTTGTGCCCCGCGCGCCCCGCCCCGCGCGCCCCAGCCGCCGTTTGCCGGGCACCCCTCGTGGCGCTGCTACGCATCCCCTCATCCCCAGTTCCAGCCGTGCCGGCTGCAGCACACATGATCCCGCTGCTCCGACCCTGGGCGGTGCCGACCCGGAGCTCTCCGGGGGCTTCACCCCTGCTGGCCGCCCGCAGCGGGATGGGGCTGAGCCCTGCTGCCAGCCGGGAGTACCGGAACGCTCTCTCGAGGGTCCCACCGCCCCACCCCAAGTCCACCGCCAGAACCACCGCTACTACCCGGCCAAGCGACCACCCACCTGCCCCTGGCGGTCCAGCCGTGCCCTACTCAGGTGTGCTCCAGGGCTGGGGCTTCTCCCCATGAAGCCTTCGCCCGGAAGCCTTTCTGGGTGGTTCTCCACGTCCCAGCTCTTAGACTCGCGTCAGAAATGGCTTGGCACTTGCTTGCCTTCAAGGCTTTTCCTCATAGACATTTGTGGGTTTGGTTAAGTGCTTGTTAACCAGAATATTTCCAAATAATCAAAGTGGCTCCCTCCTCACTCTCCCAGAATCTGTCCTCAGTAATTCCAAAGTCTCTCCTTTGAGAGGGGCTGAGCCCACCTCAACACCTAGTCCCAAACCCTTTCCATTTATCCTGATTTTATTGAGGGAAACCAGAAAGGAGTCAGGCACAAGTCTAGAGCCCCACCCCCCACCCCTGTGGCCTGAGCTCCCCTTTCACAGGGTCCATTCCCCGTGGAAGGCAATTGTGTAAAAGAGCACGCCCTCCCCTCTTGAATTAGATGAAGACACCGGATCTCAAGCTCAGTTGGTCCAGCTCCTGCCCAAGCAGTTCCAGCAAGGCCTTTTAGAACTGGGCCGAATCATCCCGCAGGGGTAAGGTTCTTCATGGAAAGACTGGGTCTGGGGGTGGGAAGTCTTGGAAGAACTGATTTGGATGGTGGTTTCAGCTGAACAAATCCGGAGGGGGTTTCTGCACGGCATCAGTCTGTCACTCAGCAGGCTGCGGTATGCCTGGTAAGGTTGTGCTAGGCTTCAACAGGGTGGTGTAGACGTACCTTATTACAGTCTACCTACAGGATCACTCTCCAGAATCATGAAAATTGAATTGTAGGAGCCTTACAATATTGCACCTTGGTGTCACTGACCAAGGAAGAGTCTTGTGCCTAGGCCTTTAGGCTGGGGCTAGTGGGGGAGGGGCAGAGTCTCTGCATCTTATTATGACCTCTTATGTACAGTTTTCTTTCCATTTATTTAGAACTTTAAAAAATTTATTATTTTTATTGTGTGTGTGGGAATAATTGGTATATTATTGATATATAGTAGCTTATTTTATGTAGAAATGTGTTTTTCAGAGTATATAACTTTATTAATGTTAATTTTTTAATTTATGTGTGTGTGTGTGTGTGTGTGTGTGTATTGTTTGCATGTAGGTAAGTGCATCCTTGTGGTGCAATGACCGCAGAGGTCAGAAATGGCTGTGGGATCAATCCCCAGGGACTGGAGTTATGCACAGTTGTTAGCTGCCATGTGGGTGCTGGGATTCAAACCCAGGTCTTCTGTAAGAACAACCAGTGTTCTTTACCACTGAGCCATCTCTCCAGCCCCTGCTTTCCTTTTTAAAAAATCAGTGGGCAACCATCAAAGATAAACATTTTAAAGAATAATTAACAAATTAAAAAACAAAAGAATCTGAAAGCCATGCTCCACGGGGGGTGGGGAGATGAGTAATGGGCTGTATTTGAGAATTAGCAGGAAATGTTGCAAGGCAAAGCCTACATGCTGTGCCATGGAAACCAAGGGCATGGGGTGAAGAGAGACATTAAAGTTAGAATAAGGCTCACCTCCCTCTGCTTCCCTGGGCCTGCAGGACCTGCAGCAGGCCTCTCTCCCGGGTAAGTCCATTGTGCCCTCTGCCCTTTGACTCCCCCAGCCTCATTCACCTTCCTATCTCCACCTCCATTCTCTCCTCCGAGTTTGGGTCCTGCCCCATTCCTTATCTTGGGGCTTCTTGATCCTTTTCATCCAAGGTAGTGCCTTCTCTGGGCCCCAGGAGCACTGCTTCTGGGCCTGGGCCTGCCCTCACCTCTCCCTGCTTCTCTGGGCCTGCAGGACCTGCCACAGGTCTCTCCCCACCACAGGCCTCTCTCCTACCCGCAGGCCTCTCTCTAGGGTAAGTCCATTGTGCCCTCCACGCCTTGACCCCCCAGCCTCATTCACCCTCCCATTTCCACCGCCGTTCTCTCCTCCGAGTTTGGGCCCTGCCCCATTCCTGGTCTTGGGGCCCCAGACACCTGGGGAACCAATACTGATCCCTGATCCTTTTCATCTAGACCAAGAGAGTGCCTTCTCTGGACCCTAGGAGCACTGCTTCTGGGCCTGGCCCTGCTCTCCCTCTGCTTCCCTGGGCCTGCACCACTGGCCAAGCCTCTTTCTGGGGCTGACCTTTCCTCTTCCTGAACCTTTGCATCCAGACCAACCCAGCCCCAGACACCTGGGGAACCAATACTGATCCCTGATCCTTTTCATCTAGACCAAGAGAGTGCCTTCTCTGGACCCTAGGAGCACTGCTTCTGGGCCTGGCCCTGCTCTCCCTCTGCTTCCCTGGGCCTGCACCACTGGCCAAGCCTCTTTCTGGGGCTGACCTTTCCTCTTCCTGAACCTTTGCATCCAGACCAACCCAGCTCCTCAGTGCAGTCCCCAGGAGGCCTTGGGTCCTCTTCCTGCCCCATCTGCCTTTGCATCTCTTGGTGGCACAGCCACCAGCTGCCCTAGACCAGCATCTTTCCTGGGCCCAGCTCCCAGGCTAGTCCAACCCCCAAATTCCTGAGGCCAAAATCGTTCCTGGAGGGATCCAGACCTTAGGAGAAAGCCTGAAAACATC